GGAGAATTTTACATCCAATCATCATCATCCTCAGAGCGCCGGCTGCAGGATGGCGTGTTCTCAGAGGAGCGTCACTCCTGCTGCAGCCTCCTACAAACAGACCACGCCCACCACACTCGCAGCCTGACTGCTGCCCCTCAGCAGGCTTCCAGACGCTGATCACAAAGATCTCTGAGGTTTCTGCTGTGCTCTTCCTGTTTCATGTTCAGGAGTTTAGATTCTGATCGTTTAAGAAGCATTGAGGAATAAATCCTGTCACGATGTTTATAATCTGCTGTTTATAACACACACGTTATAAACTCCAGTGTTTTTCTCCCATTAGAGACACAAATTCAGACAGAAAAACGTACAAACTCTTGAGCTGAAGCTTCCCTTCAGAACCTTAAACTTCCGACTTTCAAAAAGTGAGGAACCCCTAAAACTACATTTGTGCTGTTTCTCTCAGAGTACGGTGGCCTTCTAGGACACTAAACACACAGAACCATCCTACGTGCTCCAACCTTGTTTCCAGCTGAAGCGGGACTTCCCAAGGATCCAGAACTCGTGGTTGTCAAAGTGAATTTCTCCCCGTGGTGGCAGGAAGGCGTGCGCCAGCTCACCGTTCAGCCCATCGAAACACGGGTGGAGAGGAGACCACCAGCAGTCCGTGTGGTTGAAGGTGTAGAAACCTGGAAATAGGGAACATCTCAGAGGACGAAAGCAGAGCTCCTCATCCTGAGACGTGTTCGACGACCTACTGAACGCACTTCTTTAATTACCACCAGCAGCATGTAGCTGCAGCCTTCACCAGCAGGGGGCAGAGTTTTACTCTTACCGCCGCTTCGTCCAGAACCTTCAGCTTGTCCAGCCCACTAGTAAAGGTTCGGCTGACTCACTACGCCATCTTGTGGCACAAACTGGTATAACATGAAACAACAGCCTGTCTCCATATTAATATCAGCTGATAGCTGTTCAACACAACATCGATGCTGCCTCTCCACCTACTGTTGATGCTTTGGTTGGTTTTTCTAAGGTTTGAATCACTTTGAACACAGGCAGCTACAATTACGAGGCAGTTTTTAATGATATGGACGAATCTTGTGTTAAAATAAAGTACCTGTGACCTGTTTAGTGCCAGGGTTAGGGCTCTTAAGCAGAAGTTGGCCCTTTTCAAATGTGCGTGTTAACCTGACCCTGCGGGTCGACAGCAAGTTAAGCGTTCAGTCCTACCGATGGTGATGTCAGCGGTGGCGTTGCCGTCAGTAACCTCGGTGAAGGTCAGCGGAGACACGTCGCTCCACTTTGTGAAGGCGATGCCGATGGCCTTCCTGGTGTCCTCCACATTCAGGGTGTTGGGGAACTTGATGATCCTGAGATGGAAGAGACAGACAGATAACTGGACTCTGATTGGTCCTCAGAGAATGATGCTCCGCCTCCTCTGATTTCAGTTGTGTGATTGATATAGAAATACAATGGGAGGGCAATCAGTGAGGTAGGTACTCATCAGCATGGAATCAGGAAACAAACGAGCCAATCACGATGCTGCGCCATTCGCTTTCTTCATCGTCATCGATGAACTTTTTTCAGTCGTTAACAAAAAGAAACCCAAAAAAACTGGTTGTCAAAGAAAGGACAACATGTTGTTTCAGCCACCCGGCTCCACCTTTACCTGCACGGAAGGAGCCAGCATGAAAATAACCACCCAAATAACTGCCTGCGATGAGGAGGAGAAGGAGGAAGGGTTGGTTTCTGCGCTGTTTATTGGTTAGACTCTCGGACACCAGAGATTATTCTCTGCCTTGTGGTTTATATTCTGCTCTTTATTTTAGGCCGAGCACGAGGCTCAGTCACTTTCTTTGTTCAGGCTCCTGCTGACATCCTGGATCATTGTAGACATGACAGCCTCAGTATTAGCTTGAACTTCAGGCTCCAAATGTTTACCTTCATAATTAAATATTCTACACAGAATGTGCTTTAATACCAGCTGTGGCAGAGGTGCAGAGCTCCAACCGATAAACACTGAAAGACGCAGAATTAGACGATGAAGACAGTAAATCATTGACTTACACATGATCTTAGAGGACGATTAGAGAAACATCCTGACCTTGTAAAAGCACACGTGATGACCTCACTTCACTGGATGAATTACAGGATGTTACTAAGCTACAGGTGTTTCTCTACCTGTACGTGATGTTATGGTGAGTCCACTTGTGTCCTAGAGGGTTGATGGCATAGCGTTTGCTTCTTGCTGCTCGGTCCCCGAACGCCTCCATTGATCTGCTGCTGTCAGACATCTGAAACACAGCAAACATACAGAGTTAATAACCAATCAGCTTCCTTAAAATCAGTTGCAGTGCCTCTGGCGTCCAGCAGAGGCAGCAGTGAGTCCGTCCCCATAGACGTTCAAACTTTACAGCAGAAGTAAACACGTTTACAGCCTGATACACAAACTGTCTGGTCTCCGTGGATACGCGACGTCTGGACCGTGTTTGTGCTGTTGGGGCCTTTGTGATGACATCATCTGCTGTGAGGTCACCGTACTAACAGAGCGTCCACAGGGCTGAGCTCCAGGTTTAATGCGGCAAACTGGAGGATTTTGATTGTATGGTACTGGTGTCTGTGCGGACCAGCTCATGACTCGTGCTGGTTTTATCGAGCACGGCGAGCTCCGTCTGCAGGTTTTCTGTTATTGATGATTTGACTCCACCTGTGGTTTCAGGAGGTCATAGGTCACATGAATGACTGGTTTTACCAAAGTCAGGAGCTGATGCAGCTGCAGCGTTTTGGCCCAGCAATAACAGGAAGTCCTGACCTCTGTGATTTCCTGTGACTATTTCAAAATAAAAGCTCAAGTCTCAGCAGCCGTGAATGATACAAACAGAAATCCTGCAGCTCTCTAATGAAACAGGAGACTCTGGAAGACTCTGAGCACAGATGTGGACAGATGTGGCAGTAGGGTGATTCCATACAGATGTGAAACACTTCCTTCTTTGTCTCTTTCATGTGTGGCTTTGATGTGCTTTGATCCCCCCCCCCCTCCCACGTTTCTGTCAGCCACATGTGAACTCGGCTGAACCTCCGTTGCCTCCACGTCTCACTCGTTAGAAAGTCTGCTCACACGTCTGAGCGCTCAGACAGGAACGACCCCACAGGCTCCACCCACCGCCCCTTGCTATGCGGACACCACCTACAGCTTCTGCTTTGGCGCTGTTCATTCACCCGTTTATGCAGAGCGCCACCTGGTGGACAGACTGTGCAACACCAACACTCCAAGCCTGGCTGAAGGGTGTTTCTGCTGTTATCAGTGCTGACACTGACAGATCAGCTCACAGATAACATCACCAGCCTCACGTTTGTGACACCGAACACCAAAAATTGAATATTTGATCTGTTTCTGATCTGCATCGACTGAAGGAACCAAAACTGTGATAACGACGGTGAGTTCAGACTGACAGCAGACTGCAGGTGACGCTAACACCCCTGAGTGTGACTGAGGAAACAAACCTGAGACCTGCCGGGTGTCCGTTTCACAGGAATCGTCAGACTTTGATCAGATTTCAGACAGCGTGAACGTTTCTGAGTCTGAGACACGAAGCAGTAAACATTTGAATCAGCAGTGCAGGACTGTGTGAGGTCACCTCTATGCTCTGCAGCTTTTAAAGGCTCTAAATCTTCAAAACCAAAGCAGTCAGCTGTTTCATGGAAAATCATCTCAGCAAAGTCAACTTCAGATGTTTAAAGAATCATCCCAAAGTTTTAATGAGCACAAAGAACCAGAGAGACCACGAAACGTCTGCAGACGTCTTCAGAGCTTTGTGGAAAACAGATGACATCACAAAGAGACGCAGCGGATAAAAAGATTACAGCGCAGACACACTCTCATCACGTTTCAGTTTCCTGACTTTAAACAGAAGAAATCTTGTTAAACCGTTTCACAGATTTACTTCAGTGACTTCTCAGACCCAGAAACCAGCTCCACACCCACTATCACGAAAGCTGCAAACTGGTGTTGGAGTCAGTTGCTGTCTGACCTTCAGGGTCCCTCAGCTGAGAGCCAATCACGTGACTCCAATCACGTGTTCTTTTTAGTTTGATGTGTGAGTAAAAAACGCTCAGATTCAGTTTAGAGAGAAAGAAAAGCGCAAAATCATCTGAACTGAGAAACTTCATCTTTTCTAAGTCTGAGCGAATAAGCGCCGCTCCGGGGTGAGGAGGAGGAGGGTTACGATCTGACCTCGGGCTCGCTGCGCGCTCTTTGTTCTCTCCCAGTTTGTCTGGTCCCGACACTGACCTTCATCATCACCATCACCATCATCATCAGCTGAACGGGGTCCATGGCGAGTCTCGGACCGCGTGCCCGTCAATCAATCAGTCAAACAAGCGATCGGTGAGCGCGTGCGTCATCCCACGGAGTTTCCAGGCGCGCAGATTTACGCACGCACGCTCCGCGGAGCTGAAAGTCGCGCGAGCTCCACTTCAGGCAGAAAATCAAAAAGCGGGAAAGATCCGAACCCCGGAGACCCGACCCGCTCCGTGCGCGTGCTCAGCGTGGTCCGGGACCCGTGGGAGGAACGCGCTCCGCCGGGGAACAAACTGAGTGAAGTTCCCGGAGTGTCCGCTCGCTGCTGCAGCGGGGCTGGTCCGGAGGGGCGGGGTCAGGTGAGGAGACCAGTTTAACCCTTTCCCACCGGAACCACAGTTCTGTTTCAGCCCCGAGCTCACTCAGCGGATAAACAAACCCAGACCCGCTCCGGTGTTTCCCTCTGGGGCCTCGAGGGCTGCAGGTTGGGCCACCCTGAGGTGAACATCTGTCCAAACACTAACAGCTTCCTGTGAGGGAGAAAACAGCAAAAACCAAAACTCGTTTGCAAACTGAGAAATACTAACAAAACAGACCTGTGGACCTACAAATACACACATCAACAACTTCTTACAAATACTGCACTACACACACACACACACACACACACAGGTCCTGTGATTGGACAGATCGAACTCGCTGCAGGTTTCTATCCGTTTATGACTTTACAGAAATAATTAGGAGAAAAAACAGATGTGGGAGATTCAGAAGAGATCAAACTCAACGACGTGTGGAGTTCCCCAAGGCTCCGTCATCGGTCCTCTGATGCTGA